AAAAAGTAATAGAGGGATTTAGAGGCTTCATAATTAAATAGATTTTACGTTATCTTCATATACAGGGCTTTTAGTATGTAATCATCTAATGCATAGAGTTGTAACAGCAATAGAGGTGCTTATTATGTGTGTGTTGTGTTTGGTTTCTTTGTAGTTGCTTTTAGCTAATAATGGCTTAATATAAAAAGCAAAACATTTTTTATGTGTATCTCAATCAGTTCTCACCATAGCCATATCTGGCACAGTTAGTCTTCCCTCCTCCTTTCGTGCCAGGGCAGAGTTTGGTTCTAAGTCCTGCTGAATGTCACTCTTAATTCCTTGAGATCCAGTACCCTCATGTGTGCCCTGACTTCTAGGCAGGCCATCCCCACGGTGTTTCTTAGTGATGTGTGCTTCAGGACCATGGACTGTCTTCACATGTTTCCTTAGAGAGCTGGGGTCTGTATACCTCTTTGTGCAGCCTGGGATTTTGCACACATATGGTTTCTGGAGGAGATAAAAATATTGTTCAACTAAATAGATTGCACAGTTAAATGAATGCACCATGCCGTATTAGTTAAATGCCAATACATGAGCTAATTGACATTGGTACAGACCATTTTTTCTAATAATCAGGTAAATTCTGACATTTTATACTGAACAGCCGGATGTGAGATAAGATAGTATATGTATGTATACAGCTATTTTTCCAGCACTAACTAGATATATGCAGTAGGTAATGAGTGCCTAAACTGGTCACATGTAGTTTACTAACATCAAAATAACAGCGCAAGATCAAGATCTCCAAATAAATATATTATAAGTGCATAAATACAAAATCAAATGTCCAAGTGAAAAAAATTCCTTATTTTCATTGAATTTCAGTGTATAACTTATTCAGCATATGCTGCCACCTTCCACCACGTGCAAAATAATATCAACCGCACTCGCCAGATGCAGATGAGTAATGAGCCTTATAGGATATAAGGGATCCTAAGCCCTCTAGGTAAGATCAACATTTCTTATTCACCATTAATGGGGATAAAACGCCTCCACTTTATTCCTCCATGAATTCCTCAATATTGCAGAGAAAAAAAGAAACCACATAGTGTAATACTGCCAAATACTCATAAATAAAAGGATAAACTCAGGCCACTCACACATGGTCAAATATAATAAAAAAGCCTTGTTTAATCGCCTGTATGACTTAAAAGCATCCAGGTTCCACAATCAGAAAGATACGTAGGGATCTCACGCTTCAGTTGGATATCAGAGGATGATCAGCCTACCCCCTCTAAAGATGGCCACTTGGAACGCACTCGGCTTGCGTTCCAAACACTGGAAGTGACGTAGACCCAAATGACGGCAGACCGGAAGTACGTCAACGCGTTTCGCCCCTCCCACAGGGCGTTATCAAGACCAAGTCTTGAGGGCTTAGGATCCCTTATATCCTATAAGGCTCATTACTCACCTGCATCTGGTGAGAGCGGTTGATATTATTTTGCACGTGGTGGAAGGTGGCAGCATATGTTGAATAAGTTATACACTGAAATTCAATGAAAATAAGGACTTTTTTTCACTTGGACATTTGATTTTGTATTTATGCACTTATAATATATTTATTTGGAGATCTTGATCTTGCGCTGTTATTTTGATGTTATTGATTGGTGTTTTTCACTGTTGCACAGCTGCATAATCACTGAGTTTGTGTATTTGGGCGCTGGGGTATATATATACACTATATATATTTTTTGTACATGTAGTTTACTGTAAGTGGCCATATCAACTGCACCTTGGGCTGCCCACAGCAGACAATACAAAGTTTCTGTTGGTATGATCTCTCAATGAATTAGCAGCTCCATTAATTGTCTTGTTTACCAACAACTTGTCAATTCTTTCTAATGAGGACTTTACAGGTGTCCCTCTTTCAGAGCAATGGAGAATAATGGCCAACTGTGTAGAACTTTGTTAAAACTTGTATTCCTATGATTTATTAGGAACATCGGGTACAATGAGACTGTCCATATGATAATACTTATCTAGCAGAGTGGTGGTTTGAGACTTTTTGGCATCTAAGTAAACAGAGCTGTGTTTTCCATAGTACATGTGTTTGAACTTATGCAATAATTTGTTCTGGGTGAAGGATTGATGATAAATACTCTGAACCTTATTATTCTATAGTGCTGTTTTTGGACTTTTTGATAAATGCCTACAGCAGGAAACTGCAAGTTATAGCTGCGTTACACTACTTTATTACACTACTGCTTTCCAATACTTCAGCCTTAGTACATTATATGGCTTTTTTTTTACTACTGTATTGACCTTGTATTTGCACTAGTACCAACAAAACTCTCCTACCTCATTGGAATGAGTGCGATTCTGGTGCTTGGCCCGGTCAGAAGCATTAGAGAAGGCTTTGTTACAGCCTTCATGTTCACACACATATGGCTTCTCTCCTGTGTGGGAGCGCAGGTGGGTCTTCAGATTTTCTAGACGTGAGTATGCTTTGTTACAACCCTCAAACTAAAAAAAGAAAAGTACAGAACAAAGATAAAATTAATTTAAATATACATATACAGTATTAAGGATGTAATGGGACTTTGCGCATCAGTAAGATATGATATAATTCATAAAATGTTTAATGCACCTTATTTTAGCAAAATGGCCATGATTAGTGCTGCCTCTGTTGCCCTTACCTGTTATCGCTCACCTTATTTGCTGAACTGGATGTTGAGGAGAAAAGTGTAATAAAGAGGAGGAAAGGAGCTCTACCTTCCTTCCTTCCTTATTTAAATAAAAGTTGCTGCGTCTGCCAAGAGCTTACAGTCAGGTTATATGATTTGCTGTGAATGGTAGAAAAACAAAAGTCGAACCAAGTGCCTGTTGTTCGTATTAGTGCTTAGGAAGACTGATAATGAACAGATACCTATGAAGTTGGGTACACACTATAAGTTTTTTTTTTGTTGTTAAACTCAGCGGGCTGAATGAAAAAAAAAATAAGAGATCGTTGTACTACCAGAAGCGATGTTAGTGCGGTGATCTCCCCTGCTGTGCCTTTGTGTTTTGAGAAGGGGACTCTCTCCCTGCCACAACACACTGACCAGTACTGGCAGGCATTGGCTGCCAGTGCTGATCAGATGCTGAGTTTCCAGCATGCCTGTTCAACAGAAGCCAGTCGTGAGACCGGCTTCTGTAGAATACACAGCTGTCGAAAGTTGACCGATTTTAAGCCCGTGTACAAGGCTTGAGAACTAATGGATAACTCTTGCCTTCCAATTTCAGGTCAGCTATTTTTATGAATACTTTTTGTTTTTTTGCCAATATTAGGACTTTTTAGGTACTCGAAATTATATAATTTTTATTTTATTTTATAGATTAAAAGTCTGTGTTAAAAACAAAAGGGTCTTTTTACAAGTTGTATGGCACCACTGATCATATTTTTACCAAGTCCCCTCAAATCTAATATTCTTTTAATACGTACAAAATTGTTTAGAAGGTATGCTTTTATTCAGAGGACCAAGATGTGTATTATTAGCATGTAGGATGATGTTTCCTGCTGTGGGTTTTAGATACAAATTTACCCAAATTGCATTGTTGAATCTTTTGTAGGTCTTAACATCTATGAATGGGAATGCTTTGCACATTCTGTGCCATTAAAAACTGTAGATTAAATGTATTTCTATCGAGTTATTTTACAAATTCCTCCAACATTTCCACTGATCCTTATCAAAGCTATATAACCGTGGTAGGAGAACATAGAAATATGTTCCTCTGAAAAAATGTTTTTCCTTCCAGGTACAGGTTTGCATAGGATGGGGCAAAAGTTGGCATTGCTATGCCCTGCCTAGGGATGTAATGGGGGCCACTGCCTGCAAAACCATTATGGATGAAAGTATGAACTGCAATAGTTCTAGGGTAGGATGTCTACATTCCAAATACTGCAATTTCTACAATAAAAAAAATAAATGATCGCCAAAGTTGTTTGTGTGGAATGTTGTAATAGCATATTTCCTCATCAATTGCCACTGCTGGAATGTTGTGCATAGTGCTGTCTGATAAATTACATAGTTACATAATCTGAGGTCTTTCTTTGTTGTTAGGTGCAGTTTACACTCTGAGCCTGCCTTTAGACTGTCCTCCACAGCTTCTTGTGGTACAGGTATGCCATTCTCTGATTCAACATTGTGATTTCAGCATTTAACATGACAACACTGTAAAACAGAAAACTATTTGACATGGTAGATCCCGGACACCTCCTTCCTTCTTCTCACAATATATTTATAATGATATATGCAAATATTTGTAATTATCGATTCTTACTTTGAAGAAGAATGGAAAGGAGGAGGCACTGGGTAAAAATAATATAAATGATTTTTGGTTCTCATATTCTCATATAAAAGTCTATACTATTGTGGTAATACACATATGTAAGCTACATAATTTTCTGTATTTCTAGAAACAGTAGTCTACAAAGTAGAAAGTGTGATTACTTGTTGTCAGGAATTTAAATAATAAAACTATAATTTTAATTGAATTTGCTGATGATGAACACGATCTATAAGCAGCAGGCTTTCTTTAATATGAACTCACTGTGCACTTGTGGGGCTTCTCTCCAGTGTGTCTTCTCATGTGGACAACAAGCATATACTGGGCCTTGAATGGTCTGAGTTCCCTGGAGCATTCTTGCCAGTGACACACAAACTCTTTCTTCTCCCCATGGATGTGTTCATTGTTAATGTGCTGTGGTAGAGTCATTTAAATAAAAAAACAGTTACTAAACAACTAATGTAAATTAAAACACACTTAGAATTTGTTTTCTGGCCCTGTAAATGTTGGTAATATTTAGAGGCCTTGCAGTAGACTGGAGCAGCCGAAAAGCATGCGGATATGGTAGAGCTACAATGAAACATCAGTCTTACGTGCACAAGGTGTTCCTGGGTATCAAACTCTTTAGTACAGTTTTCCCAATGACAGTTGGTCTCATACACAGTTTCTGGTTCATGTTTCCCATCTTCTTTCTCCAAGTCATCTCGGCCATCGAGCAACCCTAACAGTGGATCCTATTTGAAAGAGAAATTATAAATGATCAACTTTCCAGCATAACTTGCCTATTCTGTTGCCAACATTTTTCTGATATTCATAATCCTTCTGTACTACTTTTAGAACTGAATAAGTCACACCCAGATATGTATATAGAAGCTACGCTGCCTTAATCAGAAATCTATAGGTAGAGAAAATATCTATAAGTTCTGGTTCACATCTGTGCGGTCATGCGGGCCGCGATTTGCGCACGCACCAGAGCCCATTCATTTGCATGTACTCCCGTGCCCCGGGACACGCAGGGAAGAAGTCCCTGCACTACTTTGGAAATCGCTGCCCGCATGGGAACCGAGGTTCCCAGTACGGTTGCAATTTCCAGCACTCTAAAAAATAACTCAAGCGACCTGTTACCACCACTTAATTAAATGTGTATTTCCAAGATAAAAATCCTAATTTATTGGTTTAAATAAACTTTTTCATTTAAAAACCTACTTTCATGAGTTGTGTTGAAATGATAATGTTGGAAATTACATCAACTTAATATTGTGTGTCATGAACAGTTACATTTCTGCATTCATTGTTGTACAATGAAATTTAAGTTAAGGTACCTTAATAAATTTGACTTGGTAAATTAATTTTGCTCTACATTGAGAGCTGCATTGCAAGTCTCCACCCCCATTCACTTAACACAAATCAAGTCTCAGTTGTTTCAAAAACTGTTCCTTGAACCTGATGGACTGAAAGCCAGTGCTAAAGTAATGGGTCTCAAGTACAGTATTCTCTGAAGAACGTATGTGTTCCATAGCACAGTCATACTCAGATGACATTTTTCACTTTTATTTCAGTTCACAAAATGGTTGTCGCAGGGTAATGCGGAAAGAATATAGCAAATTGTAAGAAAGCTCACAAAATATCAACTTTCAATATCCTCCAATAGCTTTACTATATTGCCACAATTTGTTGCACAATATAGCAAAGGTCTTGTAGAGAAACAGTTTCTGCACCAGACAGACAATATTAAAAAAATCTTAATGCAAAGTGCTTACTCATTCATCAGTACAACTTTAAGGATTTGATTTTGGTGTGCAAAAAATGTCAATTGTTTAACAATTGGATTGTTGGGCCTTGGTTCACACAATGAAGTGCATGTGAATCACAAAGGAACTGCAACACATTCCTGTGCAATTCACATGTGGTTCAGTGTAATGCAATTTGAGCCCATTCATTTTGAATGAGCTCAAATCACACCACATCGCACCAAAGACATGCATGCACCAATTTTTGAACCACAGTGCAACCAGATTGCATGTTTTGCTTTTGTACCATGCAATCTGGTGCCGGCAAATGCACTGTGTTTGCAACACTGACATCCACTGCAGACTGCAAGGGTAGTGCGATTTGAATGCGGTGCGCGAAATGCACACAGATTGCGGGGTTTCTGCAACACATCTAGTGTAAGCCTAAACTGATTAATTCATTTTTGAAAGCTAGTATAAAAAAAAAAAAAAAAAGCTAAAAACTAATACAGAAAATCAATTTGGATCAACTTGATTTTTAACTGCTTTTTAACTTTAAAAAACTTGCTCATAATTGTAGCAATTAAGTACACGTGACTTGAAGGTTTCTTATAAAAACTGGAAAAACGATTTGAATTAACTTAATATGTTTAAGTACTCAACTTAAAAACATGTGTTTATAATGCCAGTAATTAAGTTGGCGGTAAATAAAAATGCATTCATTTCTATCAGAAAAGCTAATTACCTCAATGCAATGTAGTTTGTTGCTTCAACTTAATTTCACCAGACATTGTCATAACTTAAAAAGCTTGATGCAAACTGTTGCGTTAATTTTTTTTGTTGAGCCAAAACATTATTTTTTAGAGTGAGTGCGGGCAGTGTGCCATTAGAATTGGTGGTGCGGCTGCAGGTATTTGTGTGGGTCCCGCAGTGGCACCACCCACACAGATGTGAACCAGGGGTAAGGGCTCGTTCACACCACACAACGTGTGTAATTATGCATATAAAATGTGTGCACTACAATGTGTTGTTAAAATGTCTTGCAGTGCTTGCTCTTCTCCTTCTCCTCTTCTTATTTCTCCATATTTATTTAAACTTCTGTTTAATTTCATACACTGCCACACATTGTGATGTGTCACATCATGTTGGAATTTGCTGTGCTGCTTAAAATGCAATATGTCCAATTTTTATTACCAGTGCAGACCAATGCAGCAAATTAGTTTGAACCAAAGTCACAGGACATAAGGCCTAACAAATTGCCTTGTTTTTGCAATGGGGCTGCATTTGGCGGCCCTGCTGGTGTGAATAAGTATAACAGTTTTTCCAGGTTATGGACTGTCTAGTAGTAGTTCGATTTCTTTCCATTAATCAGGCAGAGAATAGTGATGTCATGTCTAATAGGCTTTTCCCCTTCTATCATGAGTATTATTATTATTATTATTATTAATAAGAAAAAAAATAAATCTGAATATTCAATGGAAGATAGCTGAGCAAAGTTGTGGGGGAGCAAAAAAAAAAAAACAGTGAATATGTGCTGCTGGGGCTAAGGGGCATTTCTGTACAAAGCAACAGGTTTGCTTTAAGAAATATTTTGACATGCTATGGTGAATTGATTTTACCAGGGAAAGATTGTACAGACATATACTAGGGGGGAGTGAATTGGCTGACACACATTTAAGGATTTTAAATGAGGAAAGAATTAAGGGGTGTCCAAGAAAACATGTAACTACATGCAAGGTTGATGGCTGGAAGATGCCTGCTTTTATCTGCATGTTGTATGACCTTCTAAAATCTAAGCATTTATACAGTGCTCCTTTTATTTACATACAAAATTTATGTATACTGTAGTAGAGATCCCTGACATAATTATTGCCTGCCTTTCAATGTTATTATTGAGATGAGCAGTGTGTATATCAAATATCCAACTTTGATATGTACTGCAGTTATTAGTTACTTTCCACTGATGAAAAGCATAGAGTATGAGAAAATGGCTTTAAGTTATTAGTCCCACATAGAGTCTTTTTCCAAGGAAAAATAAACTCAAATAGCAAATGTCTAATTAAATACAGTGCTGATGATAAAGCACCTAATGTGCATGGTTTTGTTTGTTTGTTTTATAAGGACAATTCCTGATTACCTTAATTATTTTAAAATAAAGATATATATAAACCTAAAATAATGAAATATCTCAAATAATAACTAAAGTAGCATTACAGACAAACCAGTGCTTTTAAGTATGTCAGGGATCCAAGGCAAAGCAATGTGCTGAAAAAAGCCTAGAGGTGGAAGCCCCAGAGTGGCTTATCAATGATGATTATCAGGTTGGTGGGCATATGGGTCTAAACTTCTATCCTTAATATCTGGATACAAATGACCTATCTTTGTGGGGACATTTAATGGCATTGGTTAAGCTACAGTGATGATTTAGGAATAGATTCTGGAAATGTTAATGGTAATACAATAATTATAAGCTCATGTTCCACTATACCTGTGTGCCAGCAGAAGCTGGACTTGATATATCCCCCTCTGATCCGTCTTCCAGTCGTTTGGTATTCATAGTGTCTAAGCTTGTGCTGGATAATGGCTCAGATTTCATCTGTGAGGATGACCATGTCCAGTGTTATTAAATAAAGTGACAAAACGGGCGGTTCAATGACATTTAAGAACACAAATTTCATATGTATTTTTTTTTTAAAACAAATATGCTATTATTTGTTATGCTGTAAGAGAACTGAAATGTCAGTTTTAGGCAGACAACGTAGCCCTTAATAAGAACTGGTCAGCCTAAAACTTTAGAAGCTGCCACTGTTTACATGCCTTTGAAGGTGTTTGTTCCAGAACTATCATTCCTATATCGTTTTTTTCAACTCTTTCAGTTATTTTTGAGTCATTGACATGGAGCGAGCATTATAGCTGATATGCACAATTTTGTCAATGCTGACATTTCTATATTTAGGTTATCTGGCATGATTGGACGACCTGAACCCACCTGGCAGTGCTTGATAGAGGTGCGAGATTGAAGGGTGCTCATTCCTCTGCTGGACAAGTGCTCGTGTGAGTTGTAAGACATATGGCTGTTTGATCCATAAGAGGAGCCCTGAGGCCTCTGATGGTTAAGGCAATTCTGATACCCAAGTGAGGGGCTGAAAGCAAAAGCAACATGGTGTAAAATGTGAAGTGATCAACAAAGTTTACATTTCAAAATTCCAAATTAGTAATATCCAAAAATATTACATTAATGTTATAGCGCCATACTTTTTGAGGGGTCAGTTGGTGGGATGGTGTCTTTTTATTGGGTGCTGAACTGCAGATTGTTTTATTATCGTACCATGTTTCTTCATCTCTCTGGGGATTTAATTATTTTTATACATATATTTATATCATATCAAAGAAATGGAAATGCCACAATAAACTGTCATCACTGTGGGATAATCAATTAAAACGTCTGAGAGAATGTTGTATTGAAAATCTAGCCATGGCTTTACGAATGTCACTTACTTCAAACAAACTATTTAACTATTTAGTAGGTGATGTCACATTCTGAGTTGGGTGACACATACAGTCACAGCAAGTGTTTCTATATATACCTTATAGTCCCGATTGACAAGTGTCCATAGGAACCATTGGCTGAGGAACATCTGGAGTTGATGAATGCTACCAGGGAATTAGGAGATGTTCGTATCATGGTCTGAAGATCGATACTGGCATCTGATAAAGGGGAAATAGACATGGCTCTCTTCTTGCTTAGCTTCACTGAACTTCGTGGAGTGGAAAAAACGAGACCCTTAGCAGAGGAGAAAAACAGGTAATGGTCATTACATGATGTGAGGCAGCTGGCACTACTTTATTACTATATTAAATATATTAAATATTGTACATTTTCTTAGATAAGACCTTTCTTGGTCAACCCTATGAATGCTGTGGCAGTCCTAGTTGGGAGACAAATTGGATATACAAACACATATCATTGTCTTTTGTATGTATGAACTCTTGCCTGATATCTCTAAGCTCCTGAGCATAATTCCCACTGAGAACTGTCCACAGGGAGTGCATGAGTTTGGTTTGTCTTGTATAGGCTGCAGTATGGACATTAGCTTGTGTTATTTTTAGTGAGGTAGGGCCTGATGTGGATGGTTAAATGTACTCTATAAATGAGTACAATATAATTTATATAAAAACTAGGACATGCATATTTGTAAAATTTGATGATGTGTCTACAAACATCTAGCTTGTATCCTGCTTGGTGAAAGCCTCTTTGTTGAAGAATATTATATCCTAACATATTATATTATGTTGGCTGCAACAGAACACACTGCTTGTAATGTTGTTGCCCCACTTCCCACTCTTTACGCCAGATCTGAAATGCTTACCATCTGCACCAGCCATGTGCTCATTGGTTTGTGCCAGTCCAAAGCTATGGTGGCTGGTCATGAGGTTGTTCTGATGGCAATAGGGCATCTCATTCATGCCTGCACATATCAAATAGATATAAAAATACTGCATCATCATGGTAATGTAGCTCAATGATATTATTCGTACTCACAGCATGTATCTAAGCAGAAGGTAAAACATACAGAATGAAGAAAATAAGACACAAATGCTATGTTGCTGTTTAAAATATTAAAAAAAACACAGAAAAAAGAGATTAGAAAGTATATGGGGCTTAAAGCCAAGTGTATTTACAAATGATTTCACATTGACTGTTTTAACATTGATGCTGAGAAGTAGGAGTACCAAGACCTCATAATCTTTACACAAATTACTTAAGGGTAGTGTCTGAAATAAGAAACTTATTGCTCAAAGCAAACAATCAGCTTGTGACAAATCTGAAAGCAAAAAGACTAGATTATTTCTTGCAGTGAATATTAGCTAAAATTTGAAGTACAAAAAGGTTGGCACAACACGATTTTGTTCAGGCAATTGTCTAGGCTTCAGGAAGAAGCTGTTTTCCTCCATATGGTAAAAGTGGCAAACGTTTACTCAAAGGATTTTGTTGTGTCTTACTCTTGACCTTCTAACTATGTAATAAGAATGATTTGCTGTGGCTAATGAAGACAGTTCTTTTAGATGTACCTATGTTTGCACTTAAACATTAATAAAGAATGCCATTGCTAAAATTCTTTTAGTTATTTATGTGAATGTTATGTTAATTATATACATTTTCATACTTTATTTCCAGATATTTCTTCTTGACCAGTTTGTTAGAAAGATTGATACTATTGGTACTACATAGGAGTTGATTTCCTGTGTTTGTCATGCCTTTGAAACACGTCAAGCATTCACAATCTGCATGTGACCTGTTGGTGTTGCTTATCTTTGGATGCTGAAGGTTCCACTGGGGTATCTTATGATTGCAGGCAGAGTAGTTCAAATCCACACTTTCTTGTCAAGTGTTGCATTTTGCATTAGAATGCATGACGTTGAGCAGAGCTGCATTCAAATGGAAGGACTGTGTTTTGCTTTGCCTTTCTACAGGAGCCCTTAGGAAACATTTAAAAAGATGCCACTTATCCTAGCATTGTGAGACATTTAGTGAGTCCTAGAAGCATAGGAACATTTAAATAAGATGCCCGGGGGCTTCCTGAGATTGAGAGACATTTAGTGAGTCCTGTACAGAAGCATAGGGATGAGCATCTAGCGGAAAAGAATGCTTCCTACAAACTGTAGTTATCGTGTTAACAAGGTGCAGTAAAGAGAAATGTTAAAGACAAAGTGTGGGGAATGTTAAAAAATCAAACATACATACTTTCCTACATGCTACAGCTGTCCCCACCTGCTCTAAGCTTGACAATTGAGCGATCACATGACTGTTGATCGCTCAGTTCTCCGGTCTGCTCTGAGCAGAGAGCGGTGACTGTCTGTCATCGCTCCGTGCCAGGGGCGAATTGACAACTCATGGGACCCTGAGCAATAGGGGACCATAGAGCCCCTGTGTCCTTGCCCAAACTCAAAAATGCCTATGAAAAATGTACCAGGGGCATCTCATGGGGCCCCCTACTGACCCCAGGCCCTCGGGCAGTGAAATGGTCAGTCCGCCCCTGCTCCGTGCTCTGTCCCTTCAGTTCTCACTGCAGCACAAATTGGAGAGGGGGCGGCGAGCTGAGAAGCTGAGCTAACTGCCTGTAATGCATCACAGTCGATCCTGACCAGGGGCGGACTGACCATTTGGAAACTCGGGCACTGCCCGAGGGCCCAGGGTCAGTAGGGGGCCCCATGAGATGCCCCTGGTACCTTTTTCATAGGCTTTTTTGAGTTTGGGCAAGGACACAGGGACCCCATGATCCCCTATTGCCCGGGGGCCCCATGCGTTGTCAGTCCACCCCTGATCCTGACATTAATGTTGGGATCCCTCCAGAGTCTGGAGTGGCTCCATGATGTCAGCCAGCAGCGGGCTTTAGCCAACTGTCATCTGATTCTGGGTCACAGGAGTGCACAAGTAAGTTCTTTGACCATACCTCTCTTTTAAAATAGAACTAAAGCCAAAATTTTGTTTTAGTTTAGAATAGAGTGGAGAACATCGGTCAGGATTTTATTGCTTCCTGTGTCCCACCTGGGGAGATTCACCCTTTGTATTTGTTCTGGTAACCAATGTCACTGATAGTAGAAAGTAAAAGAAAATCCCAAATTTTGAGTTGAGTCAACAAATCAGGAATAGAGGGGAAATTTTCAAAAGATCTGGTCTCTCACTACTGAGGGATTTCCTCTCACTGTTGTAGTTATGGGACAATAAGTGAAGGGAAACCTCCCCAATTGGACACAGGTGTAAAAAATATATATAAAATATCATAACCCTCCCTTACTCTATCCAAAAAAAAAATAACGATTTTACCTTAATTCTATTTATGGTTGAATATAATTTTATTTAGATTTTACAAATAGAAACACAGTAGACCAAAAGGTACCAGGTAAAACAATAATCGTAAACCCACAAACAAGGAAAGGGTTGTGGGGGATCACATAACAGATCGAATAGGAACAGATCAAAAGATGTTACACATCATGATAATGTAGACAGTCTGAAATATATAATTAATATGAAGTGGATCCAGTGGGATCCCACCATAGATGTAATGTCAAGCTATATACACCTTTACGATCATTCAGGAAAAGGAGATATACAGAGTCCAGTTCTCTAACCTCCATGGAGGCCAGTGGAGAAATGGACAACAGTAAGCCATACCACGGCGATCCTGAACCAATTACAATGTAACAGTAAGTGAAATGAAGAGGTAACTGGAAAAGGGAAAAAGAGGAATGTAAAGTAAAGAAAGTTTTGAAAAGAAAAAGGGGGGGGAACATTAATTCTACATTATATTTGTTGAAAAACAGAGTTACTGTTTAATTATCAATCATTCTGTAAACTAACCTTCAGCCATGACATTGGGGGACCTCAGATAGCAATGCTCTACATAGCTGTTCATAGGAGGATTCATGGAGTTGAACATAGCAGGAGGGCACTGGCGGGATGCCATTATGGACAATCCTTAGTCATTGGCACATCTGTTTAGACTTTTTAGAACTCCTGCAAGAGAATATTTTAGAATTAACTTCCCCACAAATACTTAAACCCTTATACAGCATACAAGTATATTTTAAATGTAACATATAAGTATTAAATCATACCGCATGAATATAGAAATAAAAAGTGAAATACATTTGGATTATAGAATCTGCTTTTGACTCAGATCATACTGCCTGCAATGGGTAGTGTTAATCTGAGTACACACAGAAACCTTTGTGTCACAGGTAGCCATTGGAGGCCCTTGTAAGCCACAGTCTAATGTGTGTCAATTCGCATTCTGCCAAACAGTAGGTGACTATTCTTATAGCTTATTTATTATTGATTTTTCATTGCTTTCATTATTCTTAAATAATTTTTTAAATTGTAATAATTCTGCTGTTTTTCAGCTTGTTGAAATTCAAGATCTATATACTTAAAGAGGTACATAAACCCAAAAATGGAATATATTGCAGCTTATCAATAATTAGATGTGGTGGCTGCCTTACATTTCTTTTTCCATATGCTTTTACCTTGTGATCTGGCCTGTAACACACCTCCTGTATTAGAGTGGCCCCAGTCTGGATTAAAAAGCAACAGATAGCAGTATTGCCAGTCTGGGGGGAGGGGAGTGTTAGATGGAG